GATATTGCTTCGGTTATTCAGTTTAACCGGTGCCTATTATATCAGAAAATAAAAAAAAAGTAAAAACTATAATGGCAATTTTGAAAATATATTGAACCTTTATGCCTCGGTTTTTGACTTAACCGAGGTAGTAGATATCTGGCGTTTCGGGTTTTTTTAAACCGAGGCATATAACTTCCATAAAACTACGAAAATGCCACCGTGCTTTTATACGCTTCGGTTCTAGTAAAACCGAGGCGTATATAGCGTGTTAAAATGACGTTTTTTTACTAGTGAATATATCTAACATGACATGATCTTTCACCTAATTCAACTTTTTTTCTTCTTTGTTTTCTTAATCCCTATTTCGTAATTATGAAATTGTGTGAGCTTATCTGCTTGTATCCTTAGTTTTCATTTCTTTGCATCTCGGGAGGTATAGATGTTGCTTGTATTAGAATATTATTTGCTTGTTCTGGTAAGCTTGTTTTATAAATTACTGGGCAATCTATGCCTTCTTGAACAATACTAAAGTCAAAGTAGGAATTATTAATCATTGGCATCATAAATCATTGTCCATTATCTACCTATCGCATTCCCTCTCTGAGAATCATCAATAAAGAAGATAGCCTTCTTGTCTGGTTCATAAGCAGTATGCTTCTAATACTTTCAAGATCAAATATCAAGTGCAGAAAATTTGGTATTTCCTACTGGCCTCATAGGAAGATCAAGTCACTTTATAGTCTTATTCATGATCTTTAGGTCCTTCTTGCATCGCCTTTTTAATTTGATGAACTTTAACACTCTGTATTCTAATTGCTTACTCATTTCAAGAAATATTTTATTCATTTACAGCCCCCACTTGAACTTTATTTATTTTAACATCAGCGTAATTTCGTTAAAGTGCAAGTTTAACCTACTTGTTCAACTAATCTTATTCTTTAAAATATACCGAGGGAATGTGGTGACTTATCTGTCAGCCGTAGCCAACCTGCGACCTTCCTTTTGTAATAGTTTTGGTTAAATCTAGTACATTCAATATATTGAGTTCATTTGAAATTAAGTATATGTATAGCCTTCAGTAGATAGGTGAACTTTCACAATAGCGCATTATTTTGTTGATTAGTTTTATGTTCCCATTTGATCTATAATCCTTGGTTCATTTTTTAAAATAAGAATTTTTTTAACTAAAGTTGTTGGTCAACTTAGTGTATAAGAAGTCAATGACATAAGCTTCTTTTATGTGATAAAGTGTATTATTCCAACAATGGTGAAAGGGATGGAGTAGGTGAACATATTATTTTTCATTTCTCTATATTGCTGTTTTTTTAGGTATATTCTGAGTTGCATTACCAATTTTATGCTAGAATGCATGTGATTTCTTTGTGTTTCATAGTACTAGTTTTGATCATGAGTTAGATTTTTATTATTGTTTTTTAATTAAGGATTTTTACTGATGTTTCTTAATTTTATTATTGATTTTGTTGTAATCGTAGGACTACTTTGAGACTTGAATTTTTTAGATTTGAGACAAAGATAGATGCACATAATCAAAAAAAAGGAGCTTGATAAGCGAATCATTGAAAAATGTTTTGTTTCTTGTGTTATGGAACAAGTTGACATTCCATATATTGCATCAAAAGAAGAGCTATGTTAGCATCTAAGTTTCATATAACTCTAATGATGTTAGGTGTTGTATCTTTAAAAGTTTTTTTTTTGTCGAGGGATATTTTCTTTCTGAAACACTGGATTCAATTATAGGGACTATGTATGATTTTAAAGAGCAAAAAAATAAATCTGGTGATTTATTTTTCCACATTTTTTCTAACGATTGTTTCTTGTCTCTTTATCCTGTGACATGATCATGTACCTTGAAAATTATGAAAATAGAGACAAAGGACATCTAAATTTAAATTATCATAATTTGAACTTTTATATCGATTAAGGATAATAACAGGTATAAAAGTTAAAATTTGCATACAAATTTTGACAACAACAGGTATAAAAAGTGTTTTTAATTAATACCGGTTCAAAGAAAAACAAACAAAAAAAGACTTTTAATATCTATTTTAAAAATAATGGTTGACAAGTGACACTTTTTATATCTGTTCTCAAACTAGTATAAAAAGTCGAATACTTTCTACTCCTCTTACTTTTATATTTGTCCAAAAATTGATATCAAAAGTCTTTTTTAACCATTATAAAAAGCCTTTCTAACATAGTGAACTGAATTGCATCCAGTCTCTCCTAAGAATTCTTGAGATGTTCCATTTATCGTTTTCAAAGATTACATGGGAGTTTAACTCACTCCTAGTTGTGAAATATTATTCACCACACTCTAGGTATCCCTAGACTCCTGTCTAGTTGAGTTGAACCTACTCCTATTTGTACAATATTATTTATCCCTCTTGGTATTCATAGACTCTTATCTAGTTGAGTTTAACCCACTACTTTGTGCAATATGATTCACTACTCCTGGTATCCCTACGTAATCCTAGTTTCTCATTGATACACTACTTAATTGAGTTTCACTAACTCGTGGTTCCCCTAGAAAATTCGNTGATTCACTACTCCTGGTATCCCTACGTAATCCTAGTTTCTCATTGATACACTACTTAATTGAGTTTCACTAACTCGTGGTTCCCCTAGAAAATTCGTCTAGTCTAAGTATTCTAAATCACTCCTAGTTTTCATATATTTTAGCCACTTTTGACATCTGAATATTCTATTCACTCTTGACACCTAAGTATTGTAGTCACTCTTTACACCTAAGTATTCTAGCCACTCTTGGAACCTAAGTATTTTGATCACTCCTGACATCCCTAAAAAATTCTGGTATACCTAATACATTGCCAAAAAGGTAGAATACTTAGGTGCCAAGAGTTTTAAACTTTAATTTCAAACCAATTAAAACTTTTTTTTATTAATAATTAACTATTTTGTATACCAAAAAAATTTAGTTTAATATCTAACTTAGTCAATATAATAACTAATTAGTTTGGTCTAAATTTGATTGTCATTTAATTATTTTCTTGTAGCGTAAATTCATAAACGCATTTTCATTGAAAATTGTGTCAAGCTTTTGCTATTTTCAATTTTATTTGTGATTAATATTTCATATAGTTTATAGCAATTTAATGCTATAATAAATGCAATATTTAATTTTTATTGAATATTTAGCTATAAATGTAATAAATTTATTGAGAATAATAACTGAACTAGTAACGTTTAATTTAATTTAAGATACAATTTTATCTTTAGTTAAAGCTGTCAAAATGGCTCACAACCCGTGGGTTAGTCCGGCTCATCATAAGTTCGAGTCGGGTTGGATTTGAAAAAATTATATTTTTTTATGGGTCAGATTTCAATTCGACTCATTTAAATCTGGTTCATGCGAGTTGAATCCGTCATGGATCGGGTTGACCCACCAACCCACCTACCTGATTTTATTTTATTAAAATTTAATTTTAATTTTATAAAAAAATATTTATTACTTTTTTTTGTTTGAAAAAATTATTTAAATTCCTTATTTTCAAAATTAATTAAACACCCCGGAGTGAAATTTGGGAGTAAAATTTATTTAAATTTAAATTATAGAAAATTTGTAAATTTTTTTATTTAAAAAAATTGTAATTAAGTGAGTCAGTGAGCCAACCCGTTTACCCATTAACCCGTGGTGCGTCAAGCCGGGTTCGAATTTTTTTTTGCTTGATAATAAATGAGCCGGATTGGGTTGGTTCACTAAGTGACCAACCCGTAGTGAGCGAGTCGGATCGGCCCGAATGACCCGTTTTGACAGCTTTATCTTTAGTGGGTTATGAGAGGTATCGGTAAGAAATTGACAATATTGAAAAAAATGATCAATCCATTTCTTGTTGTGTTTCGTGATAAGTGGTGTTAGCATACCAGTTCATGGTTTTCAAGATACATTAAAAGAAGATTTGAAACTTGAAAGACAGCTAAAGCTAATGCTTATAAGTTCATAAAAATTACAAAATGTCACCGTATTAGTTCATAAAAATTACAAAAAGTCACCGTATCTTGTAATGCTTCATTTTCAATAAAATTGAAACCTATTAGATGCTTTAAAAACTCATTTTTATACTAGTGTTTTCAAAACTGTGAATTTAAATATCTTTTGGTATTTTCAAAATTTTTATTGATTAATATTTTATATATTTTCATCCATTTAATGTTATAATAAATATAATAAAATGCTAATAAATGAAATATTTAATATTAAATTATACACGTAATATATTTATTGAGTCATGGTAACATTTATTTCAATTTAAGATATTATTTTATATGTAGTGTGTAAGGTGAAGTATAATATTTTAATACTATAATAAATGCAATATTTAATATCATTGACTATTTACCCGTAATAAATATATTGAGAGTAATAACTAGACTAATAACGTTTATTTCAATACTATTTAATTTAATAAATATATTGGTAGTGTTTAGCTTTACATGTAATATTTATTGAGATAACTGAACTAGTAAGTAATTCACAATCTTGAGAAAATGATCAATTCATTTCTTCTTGTGTGTTTTGTGATAAGTGGTGTTAGCATACCAGTTCATAGTTTTCAAGATACACTCAAAGAAGATTTGGAACTTGAAAGACAACTAAAGCTAATCAATAAGCTTCCTATCAAAACTATTCATGTATTTTTTTTATTATCTTTTATATTATATTGAATATAGTCACATTATATTCAGTAATTTTCTTTTATTTATTGAATTTTAAATTTTGAAGACCAAAAATGGAGACATAGTTGATTGCATTGATATTTACAAACAACTAGCATTTGATAATCCTTTATTAAAAGATCACAAGTTACAGGTAGGTATATATATATAATCATACTTTAAGTCTTTTTTTATTGCATTGCTTGTGACTTAAATATATATATATCTTTAATTGCAGAGAAAACCTAGTTTTCAAAAATCAAGTACGAAGAATATAGGAAAGAAACCTAATTTTAAACTTGAAAGAGTCAAATGTCCTACAGGGTTTATTCCTGTTCGGAGAACAACAAAAGAAGATCTTATTCGAGAAAAAAAATTATTAAACAAGAGTATTCTTGTTCAAGGCATTCCTAGTGTTCATGTATGTTGTCTTCTTGTCAACCGAATTTCAAATTTTCATGATTTATTTTTGTTAGTTATATCATGTTTAATTCTTAAATTTGTATTTTTGCAGCTTGCAGAATTAGCTCTTTCATCGAAATTTAGTCCATACTATGGTGTTGAAGGAAGAAATAGCGTTTATAATCCACAAGTCACTAAAGGTCAAATGTCTCTTTCTCATGTGTGGGTTCAAAATGGACCCAACAATAAAATCAGTCTTGGATGGCAAGTCAGTCTTAATTTTATTATTATACCATTTTTTCCAATAAATATTATATGAAAAATATATTTAATTTGTGTTTATTTGTGTGCAATCTCACATAGGTAAGTGAAGATTTGTACGGTGACAATAAAACTCATTTATACGCATCATGGACGGTATGAACTCAACATGAACATGAAGTTCCAATTTTGCTTCACATTTTTTTTAATTCAAGAAGCCTTTTGTTAAAAAAAATAACAAACATGAATATTTCCTTTCTTCAAAATTTAATGTGATGTTAAAAAATATACAGAGAGACAATTTTCACAAGACAGGATGTTACAATGTTCGATGTCCAGGTTTCGTTCACACTAATTCTGAAATTTATCTTGGTCAACATGTCGGAGCTACATCTTCTTATGGTGGACCAATTTTTGATTTTGACAATTATATTAGCATGGTAATGATCTTGGCATAAATTTTTCATGTAATATTATATGATACATGGGTGAGGTCGTAATGTTGACAAAATTGTGTACATGGATTTTCAGCACGCAGTAACCAAAGACTGGTGGATTCAAGCAAGTGGTGAAGATATCGGATATTATCCTGCAAAGCTATTTTCTAACTTGACTTTGGCAGATAAAGTAGGGTGGGGTGGAAGAACATTGACTCCTCACGGTTCTCACAGCCCTCCAATGGGATCTGGACATTTTCCAGATAATGACCTTTATCATTCAAGTTACTTCAGAACTATTTCCTTTGAAAATGCAATTAGAATAAAGAATGGACCGGAAATATATCAAACAGAAAAGTACGTCGACAAACCTAATTGTTTTGGCCTTAAGTACTACGGCAATCTTCATGGCATTGCTGGATATATGGTCCAATTTGGAGGACCTGGTGGCATGTGTGATGATTGATTAGTCTATTTTAGTTATTTATGAACTTCAAAAATAAATATAGTTACTATCAACATTATTAATAATTTCATTTTCTACCATTCTCGTGTTTTGATCGATACTTTTAATATTTCGATACTAAAAAAATATTGATAAGATATGACCAAATTCAATACAATAAAAAATATATCAACAAATGTAATGCATATAAGAATATCGATATAAATAGAGCATTGATAAACCTACACCAAGTTGGCAAAACATAAGTGCAACTATAACCTATTTAAGATTATGAATTTTTAAAAAGCAACGCATATATAAAATTTTTCCAGATTTCTTAGACAAAATAGAAAAATAATATATTTACAAATGTGCCTCAATAAAAAGTAATGACACAACTCAACTCAACTTCTTTTAAAAATCAAGTGTCATTTTATATGGCTTAATTACTAATTTAGTTGCTATATTTATTATTTTTATTCCATTTGGTCACCTAATTTTTCATTATTTATTTAAGTTTCATTTTGTATTAAATCGATTCAATTTAATCACATTACGATCTTAGTATCATGTGTTAGTGTCAAGGTTAACATTATAGGCCAATGTCAGTGTCAAGAACTAGGGTTTTGTATTTAGTTCCATTTTTACATTTATTTTTTGACTCACTTAGTGTCAATTTTATGTAAAATCGAGTAATGTTGTTCATGTCAAAAATATAGTTGAATTCAATTTACTTACAAATAAAAATAAATAGATTTCATGAAAAATGTAATGAAATATTATTTCTTTTGTAAAATTGATTCATATAAGTAGATAAATTAAGTTAAAAATGTAAAATATCTTAATGATTTAGTTTATACTTCATGTTCATGTGAATATTAGCTTTTTTTTTTGGGAATTAAATATATAAATAAGCTAACAAAGTTGATGGAATCGTACTTGACGTAGTTCTCCTTTTGTATTTTTACTTTTTATAGTTTAGCTCTTAAGGAGCATGGGTTACTATAAATACCCAGCTCCTCTATTGTATTGGGACTTTTGAGCTTAATGATATGCTGCAGAATTGGTTTTCCAGCTTTTGTGCTCTTAAGTCACCTTTGAATTACTACTTCTTCTCCTTTCCTCAACTTCCTTCCTCTGTAGGAAGGCCTTCTGAGTTGTGAGGCTTCAACCCTACACCTTTCCTCCATTAAAACACCTCAAAACACTGCATCATTCATCCATCCGTCAACCTTAATTCATTACTTGGTTTCCTCCTCTGGCCTGTAGGCCTCTTCTCCTACAACACGTTTTCCAGCTGGGAATTGGTTTCCATTCCAATTTGTAAATCAGAGCAAGTGTCGAACACGCTTCGAAGATGTTATCGATTTCCTTGTTTCTTTTTTCGCTTTGTCCTTGATTCTTCAGAGTTTCTGTTTTGCGTTTCTGTTTCGCCTCTCGTTTGTGTTTCGTTAATTTCTGAGTTGTTCATATTTTCCTTTAAATGTCTTTGATTTGTTTTTCTGATTTGAATTGTTGGCAAATCTTGTTTCGGTCTCCAAGTTGCGTTTCCTGTGCCTGAGGTCTTATTTCATTTTAATAGTCGTTGAATCTTCCTTTTTGAGTCTTTTTAAGTTTTGAAAATCTACTTCTGTTTTGTCTATGTCATGTTGCTTTGCTTATTTTGTCATTTAAAATCTGTGGTTTAATTGGTTAGTATTCATTTCGTGAGTACTTAAAGTTACCGTGGCGTAATTCTGTCAGCTCAAAAGCTATGACTCATTCGATGAAAAGCTGGCTGACATATTTCCATTGGCAATTTTGAATGTTGCAATTGTATATCTGATTTGAGTTTGGTTTGTTACTCACAAATCAACACCATATGAGCTCTGAAAAGTTTAATTAGAGCTTTTTGTACTGGCAGTAAGTTAAAATTGAACTTTTGATTGCAGTTTCCTTTGAATTCATTGTTATCTGTGACTAATTTGGTTCTTATAAAGTTGAACTGCTAGCCCGTAACAGTACACTCTCATAAGCCATGAAATACATGGCATAGCTTAGTGGTACTTTGTGAAAACACAGCATTCTCTTGTTTCAATTACACCGAGATTGAATCTGTCTTAGTGTCTTTTGTGTGTGGTTGTATTCTATACTTAGTATTAGATCATTACTAAGTTCTAACATCAGTACATCCTAGAGTCATTGTGTTAGTTCTTTAATTTCTTTTCTGCAGAATTAAATTTGATTTGACTTGTGTTACTGCACCTTTGTGTCAAAGTTGTGCTGGCTTAAAATTTGTAAGTGGTTGATGATTAAGTCCACAAAAATCTGCATCACATCAGCAGTACTTGTAATCTTGTACAAAACAAGCACTAGAAATCGTGATTTTGAATGAACATAGCAGTAACACTTGGTAAGGCAGTTGATTCTATCGAAATAAAGTGAACAGTTGAAACATTTGTTTACAACAAATCTGCAATTTGTTCTTGATCCTTTTTTTTTTTATTGCTTTTGAATCTATCTGAACTGGATCTTAGATCCTGTTTTGAGTGCTTACTTTGATCAAAAGCTTTGTTTCTTTGATTGTCATTGTTGAATGTCTTAGTTTTGTCTCAATGCTGTGCATTCATATTCTGCTGTTCTTAATTTGAGCTTTAATTTTTTTTTTCTCTAATCTAGAGTCTGTCTACAGTGGTTATTGTAATTTGTGCCTGTCAATTCCTTTGCTTTAGTGGTTTGTCCTGTTCTGTTCTGGTTTCTGATTTGACCTTAGCCTAGCCATTCTTGATTGAGAGCTTGTTACAAAAACCTTCCTGGGGGTTTTTTTTTTTTTTTTTTTTATGAATTTGAAAGAAGGTTTGTGTGCTTGGTAGCATCTTAGGTGGTGGTCTGAAAGACTCTCCAGCATTGTACTACCAAGGGAAAATTTCCCTTCCAAACCTTTCATTTTTAGTGCTTTAAGCTTCCAGACAAAAACCTGAGTTTGTGAGCTTTGTGTGGTTACATCTAAAGCCAAATATCCTTGTTGAGAGCGTGTTCTTCCTTCAGTTCTGAATCTGAATTGTGCTCACCAATTAGATTTATGTAGTTTTTGTTTTGATTGCCATTTATAGGTGGTGTTGTGTAAAGAGTGAATTACAAAAAGCTGCCACAGTTAAGAAGTTGAACAAGGAGTCTCATGAAACTTGAACTGAATGGGCTTTGGGAGTGCAGACCAGAACCTTCACTGATACAGTTGTAGAACTTCAATAGAGTCTAGCTTAAGCAACCAGAGGCATAAACACTTCATGTAGGAGTGTTGAACTAAAGGGAGTCTTTAACCTTAAATTGCTTCTGTTTTGGTTGAATTATTTTTGTTATAGCTTGTTATTGCTTAGCATTATTTGAAGTGTTGATCTGGTATGATAGTTTTTGTAGACTAGGATTAGCCATTCTTAATTGGAATTGTTTTTGCATTGCATTGGATTGGTCAGGTTTTGGTTAGTCTGGTTGGTTGTTTAATCAGATTGGTTTCAGCCTTGAATCATATCTATTTGCATCTAGTTAAATGTACATTTCCATGTGTATTTTGCGGGATTTTGATGTAACTTTGTGTGTGCATAGCTGAAATGATTGAGTTTTTAGTTTGAGCAGAAGATTTTTGAAGAAATAGTAGCAAAACCACTTCACTTGGGAGTTGTGAAATTAAGGGAGTTTGCTTAAACTGTTTTATTTGTTATAACTTGCAATTGTTAAGATTGGGTGGACTGCTGATTTGATTGGAATTCAGTTTGTGCAGGAGTTTAATTGAGCAGTAGCAGAATCTCGGTGGCAAGCTTGGGAAACTTGGAAAGCTTGTGTAGCCAAGAGAAAGGGAAAAATCTTTTATATTGTGTAAATTTAATCCTCTTGATGTCTGTGTGGAAACGATGCACTAATCCAAATTGCGATTTGTGATTGTAGGATGGGACATGCAAGGAGATTCAAAACAATTGATTCCAGAAGCAACAAAGTTGAAGCAAGACTAAGATGTCAAGAAGCCAAATTGGGCATGTGATTTTCCTGCAGGATGAACAGGACCGTAGCATAGGATTGTTTGCTTTTGTAATTGTTTTCTTCAATTTATTTTCAATAGGCTTGTGTTAGCCTACTGTTAGCTTTATCTTATTTTGTAAAAAGGCCTTTTACAAAGTCCAAGTTCTTTGGAAGAGTCCTTGGTGCTCTTTCAAACTCTTGACAACTTTACTTGCTTTATTTTAGCATAACTAGATATGCGAGTGTGTCTTGTTAGCCACAGCTACAAGCCTCACCATAGGAGTAGAATTTTTTATTGATTGTTTGATTTTGTGTTCAGGTTCACGTTTAGGGGTGATTTACGCTAAAAGGGATTAAACTCTAAGCCTTGTCACATGAGAGTCCGAAAATTGGGAGTCTAGTTTTGATTGTTTGTGTTTGTTTGTGGGTTGTGTCCCTTGATTTTAAAGGTGATTTTAGTTTAAAGGATAACTAGTAGTAAACTAAGACATTT